AGAATTCTGTGTCAAAGGCTGGCCTCGAAAACTCCTGGCCTCCAGCAATCCTCTTGCCTCGGCCTCCAAAAGTGCCGGATTTCAAGGGGTGAACCCACTGCCTGTACCAAGTTATGCCTGCCATATATCACAGGAGGATATGTAAATAACTGACTTTGGCTATGTTGCAATAAAACTTATTTATAAAACGAGACGGTGCGGCGAAAAGGCTCACAAACCAGTGATTCCTGCTCCTGACGTAGATGGTTCAATATTTACCTTGATTTCTGTAGACAACACGTCTCAACAGTTTCCACAGTCAACAGAGGCCGTAGCCCTTCCCACCTCACTCTGACATTGGGGTTGACCCCCCCAAAAAAAAACCAGCATTGCTACCTTCAAAGGTGGTGGTTATGAGTGTCATGGAGGCAGCCTGACTCTCTGAGTTCCAATCCTTACTCGGGATTAATAGCTGTGACGAGGGGCTGAGGACCAGCTCTCTGGGCCGTACCTCAGTTTCCCTCCCTTGTCACACAGAGCTGGCGTGAGCCCCTGTCTGATGGGGTTGGCAGAAAGGACCGGGTGACTTAATCTGCGGTGTTTCTCTACGGCAGCCACAGAGAAGGGGAACTTCTGGGACTTCTCCCAGGACGGGAGAAGACGCGCTCTCGGACTGACTCAGCGCTGCCAGGCTGTTCTCCAAGTGAGCCGCAGTTTCCACCCCCGCCTAAAGGAGGTCCACAGAACCGCCCCTTGTCCGGTCACCCGCCGCATGCCACTTTCTCTTTCCTAATTCCTGCTGGGGCAGAATCACATGCACCCGGGCACAGAAATCTTTTTATTTATTTATTTATCTAATTGTAAGCTAATTCCTATTTTTCTAATAGAGACGGGGGGAGGGGGGGTCTCGCTCTTGCTCAGGCTGGTCTCGAACTCCTGAGCTCAAACGATCCGCCCGCCGTGGCCTCCCAGGGCGCCGGGAGAAATCTGCTTAAGCGCACAGCTCGGTGGAAACGGGCGCATGCGCTGTAGCTCGGTGGATACCGGCGCATGCGCTGTAGCTCGGTGGATTCTGGCGCATGCGCTGTAGCCGACACCCGCAAGACAGATCATTTGCAGTGCCCACCTGCCAGGCCACGTGGTTCGAGCCAAGAGGAGGGGAGCTGGGGGCTGGGCAAGCCACTGCAGTCCAGGGGGGGGGGGCACGTGGCTTCCACACACGCCTGCTGCCGTGGCCCACGCGTGGCAGGGGCCTTTGATCGGGGCACCGGGTGGCCGAGGTCACCGCCTGGAATCTGGGGTGGGCTGGGTCTGGGCGTCACCGGTGGGGCTGGCGGGGAAGGCAAGCTGGCCCCCGCCTCGCACAGCCTGAGCCAGGTCTGCGGCCACCACCGTCCCCCTGCCTCCCTAACCAACAGGCCCGAAGTCAAGAATGGCACAAGATCAGGCCAGACGCCCCGTCCTGGTCCCCGGGTCGGCCTCTCTCTTTGCAGTGTGACGTTCCCCAGTCGTGCTCCCTTACACACTTGGCTGGTCCCCATATTGAGGCTGTCATAGATAAAACAGTCATGAACATTGGAGGCACGTCTCTGTGTGGATGTCTGGTGACATTTGGCGTGGGCATAAACCCAGGAGTGGGACTATTAGGATTTTTTTTTTTTTTGAGACAGAGTCTCACTTTGATGCCCAGGCTAGAGTGAGTGCCGTGGCGTCAGCCTAGCTTACAGCAACCTCAAACTCCTGGGCTCAAGCGATCCTCCTGCCTCAGCCTCCTGAGTAGCTGAGACTACAGACATGCGCCACCATGCCCGGATAATTTTTTTCTATATATGTTAGTTGGCCATTTAATTTCTTTCTATTTATAGTAGAGACGGGGTCTCGCTCTTCCTTAGGCTGGTTTCGAACTGCTGACCTCGAGCAATCCGCCCGCCTCGGCCTCCCGGAGTGCTGGGATTACAGGCGCCCGGCCTATTTTTTTTTTTTTTTAAGAGATGGGGGTCTGGCTATATTGCCCAGGCTGGAGTGCAGTGGCGTCATCGCAGCTCACTGCAGCCTCCAACTCCTGGGCTCAAGCGATCCTCCTGCCTCAGCCTCCCCGGTGGGACATGTTGTTCGTTAAAGAAGGGTTTATAAATCCTGGTCCATCAGACCTAGAGCCCCAGGAAACAGGGACATTGCCCAGCCCCTGCTAATGAGAAGGCACAGTGAGTCTCCCATTATCCACCCACCGCTGGGGCTGTGACTGCACCACTGGCCCTGGCATGACACGTGCGGGTTAATGACCCACGTTTACAGGGACAGCAGGAGAACACGTCCCAGCGCTCACATACTGGGAGAAACATTTAAGTCCAAGCAGGAAGATGAAACACAGCACAGTGGTCGCTGCAACCTTTCTTGTAAAAGGCCAGAGAATGAATATTTTGCATCCTGCTACCCACATATGGTCTCTGTTGCACAATCTCCTTTGCTTTAAATTTTTGCAAAAGATCTTAGAACTAAGCTATTAAGAGAAATCAAGTAATTGTTAAAAACAAAGTTACCTTAGCAAAGTTGCAGGAGATAATATCACACAAATATCAGTAAATGGCTTGCTGATACACCAACGATAAATATTTTAACACGTCGATGGCCACATCAAAAAAAAATTTGTTTTCTCCTTAGGGCTACGGTGTTTTATTACCAAAATAGAATAACAACTTTGGCCAGGCGAGGTGGCTCACGCCTGTAATCCAAGCATTCTGGGAGGCCGAGGCAGGAGGATCGCTCAAGGTCAGGAGTTTGAAACCAGCCTGGAGCAAGAAGAGGTGAGACGCCATCGCTCTGTTTACAAAAAACATAGAAAGAAACTTGGCCTAGACAACTAAAATAGTATAGAAAACAAATTGGAGCCAGGCATTGCGGGTTGGCGCATGCCTGTAGTCCCAGCTACTCGGGAGGCTGAGGCAGGAGGATCGCTTGAGCCCAGGAGTTGGAGGTTGCTGTAAGCTAGGCTGACGCCAGAGTGAGACTCTGTCTCAAAAAAGAAAAAAATAAAATAATAGAATAAAAACTTCAAAAATAAAATGGTCCTAATTTAATGAAAAATTTGTTATTTTTATTTTCTGTGGGTGACTTATATGCAACTTGAAAAACAATTCTCCCAGCTCCTAAGGTTTAGAGACGTGTGAGTTACATACACTTCACTAGGCCCCGGTCTCAAAACTAGCGTGAATTAAATACAACTCACATGGCAGTTAATATGTTTAAAAAGTAATTAATTCATTGAAAAATCCTGCAAAGAAATTAAAAAATGTTTTTGTTGTTTTTGAGACAGAGTCTCACACTGTCCCCCTGGGTAGAGTGCAGTGGTGTCATCATAGCTCGCTGCAGCTTCAAACTCTTGAGCTCAAACAATCCTCCTGCTTCAGCCTCCTGAGTAGCTAGGAATACAAGCATGTGGCACCATGCCCAGCCAATTTTTTTAATTTTTTGTAGAGGTGGGGTCTTGCTATGTTGCCCAGGCTGGCCTCAAACTCCTGGGCTCAAGCGATCCTCCTGCCTCGGCCTCCAACATTGATAGGATTACAGGCATGAGCCATTGTGCCAAACCATGAACAATAAATTGCTGTTGCTTATAAATTACCCAGCCTAAGGCTCTTTTGTTAGAGCGGCAGGAATGGACTAAGACACACACACACACACACAGCCTGTATGTAGCTGCAGGTAAAATTTATTAAGGCAATAATGAACACCAGACAGGCCTCAGCACATTTCTGCTCTAGAACGAATGCCCCACGTCTCAGACCAGAAGTTCAAGTCCATTAGCTATAAAGGCTAATAGCCGGGGACCTTGGCATAGAAAAGGAAGTGGACTATATCAACTCCGTCTGTGATTTTTAGGAAGGAAAACATTTTTCTTTTTTTTTGGAACCATCCAGAAAAAACATTTATCCAAAAAACCTCTCGCTACTGACTGATGGGGCGAGGCTTCCCACAAGCTTCCTTCAAGCTCAGAGGGGCAAGCGACGGGGCGGGTGGGTGACGTCCCCGCTGTGTGTTTTTGCCCTGTTCCAACGCTGTCACCTAGGACAGCGGCCACGACGTCCCCGGCAGTTGGAGGGGTCGCCCCCTATTAAAAAGCGGTAGCCCGAAAGCAGAAACACGTATTGGTCTGCCCTTACGGCGAATGCGACATCCCTGTTTTGAGAGCCTCAGTTTCCCAAGTCGGCAGCTACAAGAGCGGGATGGGGCCCCCCAAGCCCCGGCCTCTCCCCTCTACTTCTTCCCTTCCGGGCCCTTCTCGGTGATCCCGGGGGCAAAAGGCCCCACCAGCCACATGACGGGCGGGCTCTGCGCCACGCACTCCACCACGTGGTCCAGGGCCTCTCGGGCCTGGGCCACCCGCTCCTGGCTCTGGGCCAGGACGCCGCTGGACAGGTCCTGGAAGGAGCGGACGCCCGCAAAGGTGGCCTGGAGGTCCTCCACCTGGCGGCGGGCCAGCCGCGCCTGGTCCCTCACGCCGGCGGGCAGGCCCTGCACGCTGGCCCCCAGGGAGACGCAGGTGGCCTGCAGCTGCCGGGCAATGTCGCGCAGCATGGCCAGCGCCCGGGACTCCACCTGCTGGGAGAGAGACGGCGGCTGAGCAGGGACGTCCGCTTCCGGCGGGCAGAGGGACCTGATCTTCGGGAAAATCCTAACGCAGCGGTTCCCCACACGGGCTCTGGGTGTCGTGGGTTTTTTTTTGTTTTGTTTTTGAGACAGGGTCTCGCTCTGTCCCCCGGGCTGGAGTGCGGTGGCGTCATCACAGCTCACTGCGGCCTCCAACTCCTGGGCTCCAGAGATCCTCCTGCCTCAGCCTCCCAAGCGGCTGGAACGCATCTGATCTTAGCCACCCTACAGAGGGTCCTGCATCCCGTCTCCAGATGGGGAAACCGAGGCCCGCAGAGGGTAAGCTGAGAAGCGCTAGTGCAGACAGAGACTGAAGGAGTGTCACTGAGAACGAGGTGTGAGAATGGTGTGAGGCGTGGATGTCGGGAGGGCTTTAGCGCCCGGGGGGTACAGGTGGCAAAACCCGTCAGCGTGTGGCAAGAGAGGCCGACGGTTGGCAGAGGATGGCAGATTAGAGGGTGCTCTGGGATTGGGGAGAGAGGAATTCTAGACTGCAGGTCAGCGGGACACAGCTTAGCACAGAGAAGTCTGAGTCCCGTCACTATCAAAATATCCTCCGATTCCCAAGCCACACCCATACCTGAGAGCAGAAATCTAGGCGGGCTTCCTGGAGGGGGTGTCCTGAAAGCATTACTGGGAGGAGAGGCGGGGAAGGCACCCCAGGAAGGTGAGCCTCTGGTGGCAGAGGTGTGGAGGGTGACATCGGGGACCCCGAGAACCCCGGGCCATCCTCCCAACCCCGCCCCGCAGCGGATACCTCTGGCTTAGCTGGGTCCTTCTCCGTGCCCTGGGCCTGCTTCTGGCTCCAGCTGAGCCACATCTGGTGCAGCTTCTCCTGCCCTTCCGCCAGCCTCTGGTCCACCCCCTGCTTGGCCGCCTCCACCTGGAACGGAGGGGAGAGGACTGAGGG